AATGTGTAACGCTATATGGTATACAACCAGAGAAATGAAAAGTTGTAGTGTAATTGTGTACAATGAATCAAAATGCATTCTGTTATATATACCTAATTAAAATGAATAAATTAATTAAATAACGAAAGGAATGTTAAAGATCTATAACATAAGAGATCTTTGAGTATTGAAGAGAAAAGAAAATAAAAGCAAATGAAAACGCAGAGCTACATAAAAACTCTATACAAAGACTGTATAAGTGGAGGGGACAGAGCTTAGTGGTAGAGTACTTACCTAACATGAATTAGGTCCTAGGTTCAATCTCTAGTACAAGGGGGAAAAAAGGTCATATGGGTAACATATGTACAAGTAAACCAAGAAGACTTTTCTTCATTGGTTTAATTTCTTTGAAAGAAATTGAGCTGGGTGCTGTGGTGCATGCCTGTAATTCAAGTTACTCGGGAGGCTGAAGGAGCAGTGAAAGTTTGAGGCCAGCCTTGATATTCAATAAGACCCTGTCTCAAAATAAAAAATAAAAAGGGTGGGGGATGTCAGTCAGTGGTAATCACCCCCAGATTAAAGAAAAGAGAAAGCAAAAACAAAGTTGAGATTCACAACAAATGGAGAAGTAAAATTTTAGGACAACAGCATAAGCAGAAGGTTGGAAAAGAGAAAATGCAATTACTGTAAAGTTCTTGTTTTATATGGCAAATAGTATATTATTTAAAGGTAGATTATGGTAAGTTAAAAATGTATGTTGAAAACTAAGCAAACAGAAAGAAAATAAAACAAGGTCAACAGTAGATAGAAAATGAAAAAAAATAAAATGCAAATTGGAAAGAGGGCAGCAAAAGTAGGAAAGGGAGACAAGAAATATATGGGACATGTAGAAAACAAATAGCAAGATGACAAGACATCATTATATAAAGTAAAATTTAAATTGTCTAAGAATCAGAATGGATAAAAATATAGGAGGCAATTATTGATTATCTAAAAGAAATCCAACTTAAATATAAAGACCCAAACTGGTAAAAGTACACAAAATGTTACTTCATCTAGATAATAACCTTTAGAAAGAGTACACTATTACTATCAAGGTAGATTCTTCTTTCCACTCTGAGTCATGAAAAAGAGACCTCCTAAGGGTCAAGGACAGTGAGGAAAATCTCATTCTTTTCTGTTTTCTCTTGCCCCAGTCGGAAGCAAAAACAACGTAGGTAACGGAAACAGTAGCAGAGTCTGGGCAGACACCTGAAACTCTGAAGGAGGGGAAATCTGATCAAAGGTGTTGAGGTAGCTAGCATACACCTGTAATCCCAGCAACCTGGGAGGCTGAGGCAAGAGGATCACCAAGTTCAAAGCCAACCTCAGAACTTAGTGAGACCCTGTCTCAAAATTAAAACATAAAAAGGGCTAGGGATGTGGCTCAGTGGTTAAGTGCCTCTAGGTTCAATGTTCAATCCCCGTACCAAAATAAAAAGGTACTGTGGTTTCATGAGCTTAAAATAAATCCTCTTACTTTTTTTCTGCTTTTACTTTCAACTGCCTGGAATTAGACATAGATACAAATGCAGAAATGAATGACAGAGGTCAGTCACAGAAACTTAGAGAGACCCTGTCTCAAAATAAAAAATGGAAAAGAAAGGGGATATAGCTCGGTGGTAAAGCACTCCTAGGTTCAATCCCCAGGAAAGACAAGAAAAAGAAAAGCAAGAAGAAAAATGAAAAGGGAAGCCACAGACCAAGAGAAAATACTTACAAATAATACACCTGATAAAGAACATGTGTCCAGAATATATAAAGAAGGTGTAACTAAATAAAAAGGCAAACACGCTTGTTTAAAAATGGATAGGAGATTCTAAAGAAATTTCTCCAAAATAGTTACTCAAATCAAATGAACACATGAAAGGATATTCAATTTCATTAACTTTTAGGCAAATAAAAATTAAAGTCACAATGATATATTTCTATGCAACTACTAGAATGACTAAAATTAAACAACTGAGCATACCAAATATGGGAAGGATACAAAAAAACATCCTGAACTCTCAGATTGTTGGTAGTAAGAGTAAAATCACTTTGGAAAAGTTTGGTAGCTTCTTAAAAATCAAACATACAGGGGCTGGCGTCGTGGCTTAGTGGCAGAGCACTTGCTTTGCTCATGTGAGGCACTGGGTTTGATCCTCAGGACCATATAAAAATAAATAAACAAACAACAACAAAAAAAACTTCACATACCATAAGCCATGCCATTGCTAGGTTTTTCTTTCTTTCTTTCTTTTTTTTTTTAAAGAGAGAGAGAGAGAGAGAATTTTTTAATGTTTATTTTTTTAGTTTTCGGCGGACACAACATCTTTGTTTGTATGTGGTGCTGAGGATCAAACCCGGGCCGCATGCATGCATGCCAGGCGAGAGCACTACCGCTTGAGCCACATCCCCAGCCCCCTGGGTTTTTATTTCTAACAAACATAAAAGACTATAAACAAGTGTTCATGGCAGCTTCATTTATAATCCCAAAACTGAAAACACCACAAACATCCATCCATCAACTGATGAATGGATAAACTGTGGTATATCCATATCAAGGAATACCACCTGGCAATTAAACAAAATGAAGTACATTCATAAACTCTGAAACCTGGATGACTCTCAAACATATTACACTAATTGAAAGAGACACTAAAAACAAAATACAAAAAAACAAAAACCCTACAAATTATAAGATTCTATTCACATGGGGAAAAAAAGGCAATTTTTTAGAAATAGAAAGCATATTAGTAGATGCCCAGAGCTGGGGGTGAAAGTGTGGATTAATTGCAAACAGACCCAAAGTAACCCTCTAGGATAATGTCAATGTTCTAAAACAGTACTGAATTGTTTCACAATTCTATAAACAGACTTACATTACTGAACTGTATCTTACATGAGAAACCTACATGGTATGTAAACTATACCTTTAAAAAAGCTTTTTTAAAAATGAAGCATATGAAGAAAATAAACAGACAAACCAAAAATTGGGAAATAGTTAATACATAAAAGCAAGAACAGACTAGTTTCCAGAATATGTAAAGACTACCTACAAAGTCAATTTATAAATGTTAAACATCCCAAGTGGAAAATGAACAAAAGAAATGAACCAGAATTTTAAAGAGTAGGAAACAACCCATAAACATGTAAAAACAACTTCCTCACTTTAATAATCAGGGAAATGTTAATATCACAATAAGATTTTATTTGTTACCATAGAGGCAAATATGCTTTCAACCCAGTTACTTCTAAGAATCAATCCTACAAATCTGTTTGTGCAAGGCCACAAATACATATGTACAAAGACAGTACTGGAGAGTAATATATGAATATATAGACTGAAACAGCAGCTCAGGAGGCTGAGGCAGGAGGATCATGAGTTCAAAGACAGTATCAGCAACTTAGTGAGGTCATAAGCAACTCAGTGAGACCGTGTATCTACATAAAACACACACAAAAAAAAGGTTGGGGATGTGGCTCAACATCCAACTAGGCAACTGTCTATTTTCATTTGAAAATATTTTCCTGGAAAGTTGTTTAAAATTTTAAAAAATAAAATAAAAGTCAACTGTGAACTCAATCATAATTCTCAAGTAAAAATAATCCCAAGATGCAACCACACTTGAATACACTGATATTTATTATAGAAACAGCAGTATTCCTTAAAATACACATATCTACATATCTAATTCACCTTAAAAAGCAATGCAAGAAGAGCCAATTATCTAAATACATAATAGTAGTCTAAGCATAAAAACTCAGGTTTAATTCCTATTTCATAGAGAATTCTTAATAGCTCCAAATGATAACCAATAAAGCTATGGCTAAGAAGACATAAAAGCCTAAACAACAGTCAACTTTTTAGAGCAACCCAGGTAATTTGATAGAATCTATAATATCAGTTTGAATATTCTAAACGTATTTTTTTTATACTGGGAATTGAGTCCAGAGCCTTACAAATGCTAGGCAAGCACTGAGCTGTATCTCCAACCCTTTTTAATTTTATTTTGACATAGTCTCATCAAGTTGTCCAGGCTGTTCTACAACTTGCAATCCCCCTGCATTAGCCTCTAGAGTAGTTGGGATTATAGGTGTGTACTACCTCTCTGGGCTCGACTCCTAAGTTCTATAAAATATTCCTGTCATATATGATTTAGGAAAAAAATTAATTTGGACCTGAAGTTAGAAATGAAAATAAAATAAGTGACTAATCTGGTCAGATTAAATTATTATGAAAATAAAATAAAATAATATATATGAAAACAATATATAAATCTAAGACATTAGTTTATCATGTCGTATGACATCCTAAAACAAAGATAAAGAACTACTCAAGTTGGCAGAAAAAAGCTTTAGCAAATAAATAAAGGGTTGGAAGGATTGCTCATCATATACTATTTGAGATAATTTTGCTAGACTACAGAATTTGCTATAAGCCTGCCCTATGAACTCTTAAATTCTAGCAATAGAATCCAGAAATCTTACCACATCCAACATACCAGTAGTATGAGGTCAATAATCCTACTTAGGCTTATAAATTTAAGTAGAAAAATGAATAAAAATAGATAGATTGAGTAGGTAGTAAGTTTCAGCAGAATTTAACAGATTGATGTAATTTAAAGAGCCAAATTACAGTGGGTTCAAAAAATATACAATGCATTCCTAAGTACATGTATGAAGACACAAATGGTGTGACTCTACTTTGTGTACAACCAGAGGTATAAAAAATTGTGCTCTATATGTGTAATATGAATTGAAATGCATTCTGCTGTCATATATAACAAATTAAAATTAAAAAATAAAAAAACCCATATATATATTTCTGGTAATAATACATATTAGTTATTTAGTAATATATTCATCTAATACATTACTTAATTCGCAAATAACCAAACAGTAAGTGAACTTTTAAAAAGGTGAAAGAATTATATGCAAATAAGTTCCTGTATTTTTGTAAAAAAAAAAAAAACTAAAGTATTAGTTAATTTGGCTACCTTTGGTCCTGAAACTGGGTGGATGGTATTTTTGGTAGATAACAGATGAGGAAAAGTATTCTGGAATGCAAATGCAGAGGAGACAGGATAAGGAATCCCACAGCTTGGGTAAGTCAGCCTACTATCAACCTAAAAATAAAAACAAGAAAATGATTAAAGATAACAAATAATTCCAAATAGTTTCTCTTATCCAGGAGGCATTATTGTCTGCTAATTAATAGTTAAGAGTACTGTCTTGGGCTGGGGTTGTAGCTCAGTTGGTAGAGCGTTTGCCTTACATGTGTGAGGCACTGGGTTCAATCCTTAGCACCACATAAAAACAAATAAATAAAATAAAGGTATGTCTGTCTACAACTAAAAAAATATTAAAAAAAAAAAAAAAGAGTGCTATCTCTGAGGCCAATTTTTTCATGACACCATAAAACTCTGCTTCAAACTAAATTAAAACAAAAATCCTACTGGCCAGGCACAGTTGCACATGCCTAAAAATCTCAGCAACTGAAAAGACTAAGTTAGGAGGATTGCACGTTTGGGGCCAGCCTCAGCAACTTAGTGAGACCCTCAGCAACTTAATGGACCATCTGGGGATATAGCCCAGTGGTAAAGCGTCCCTGAGTTAAATACCCAGTATCCCCATCATTAAATCCCCACCCCCATCATTCCCCCACAAAAAATAAACCACTGAACTGAACTATCTTGGATCACTCCAGGTTTCCTGACATGGAAGGTATTAAGAAGGACAGTGAGTCATAAATCAATAGCCCCAATCAGGGATAAAATAATAATTTGCTTCCAAACTGAGTAAAAACAAGATTAATATCCTTAAATAGGGTTAACTGAGGCAATTACTTACTTTCCATTAATCTTCTATATGGTAGCATCACCATTAAACAACAGACACGAGAAAAAAGCTAATTTTTTAAAAGGTCACTTGAAACACAAATCTTGAGAAGCAACTGTGTAGCTCTGTGGGAGAGCATTAACTTAGCATGCTTGAGGCCCTGGGTTCAATTCCATGCAACACACAATAAAAATACTAATCAAAAAGCAACTGTGTACACCAGTGGCTGTACAACATAAACATCCTTCTCACAGTTATTTATCTTCAGTCATTCAGGTTAAGCCTATGAAATTTTTTCAAGTTTGTAATTCAGGTCCAGGTACTTCCTTATGCGCCATTTCCCAATTTAACAGCAATCCTTTTTCTGTTTTAGACGCTAAGTACAATTTATCAAAGTAGATTAAAAATTCAAATAGGTGCCAGGTACAGTGGTACACGCTTGTAATCCCAGCAGCTTGGGAGGCTGAGTCACGAGGATTGGGAAAAAGCCAGCCTCAGCAAAAGCGAGACACTAAACAACCCTGTCCCTAAATAAAATACAAAATAGGGCTGCGGTTGTGGCTCAGTGGTACCAAAAAATAATAATAATAAATAAAATTCAAATGCTTATTTGAATTTTATGTTTTATGTTTTCTGCCAATGCCCTCCAGTCAGAGAGCACCAGAAAAACACCCAAAGGTATAAAAACTATATTTATAAATTAACTCCTTGAAACGAAGGAAACTGCAGACCTTTAGGAACCATAGGGAGTTTTAGTAACAGTGTGCTAAAAAGGATTTATTTATTGGATCCAGGCACATTGGACAATTTAAGTGAAAGTTTAGGAAACTGGAAATTTGCTATGGATTCAATGCTATTAGGAAGTAGGGAAAAATGTATGACTGGATACCTAAATAAATCCCACCTAATAAAGGAGGGGGAATGCGTGATGGCTAAAGCTATAACTGGTTCAAAAAGTAACAGTCATTCATGTTAGCCAGGACTCAACGATGCTTGACCATCTTTGTGGTTTAGCAATGTAGATATTTTAATCTATGTAGACATGATTTACAAAGTATTCTCATTTTGTCTTGATTCATTATGTGTATAGAGTGACCTTGTCTGATGTTGATATTCTGTGAAATTGTGTTCAACAGGAGAGCCTAAGGATTACTTATGAGTATTAGGCAAGTTTCTAGTAGCACCAAGACCTAGCCACATGATAATACTGAGACACCTTTTGTATATAAAGAGCTGCTTTTCTTATTCTCCCCTCTTATTCCTTGCCCAGAAAAAGCAAATGACCCAATTCTGGAAACTAGAAAGCTTATATCGCAAGAGTTTATTCTAGCCTCTAGAGCTGATAACAGAACCTTCTTTTCTCATCCCTGCCCCCACTTTTTTCTTTTGCAGCTAGAATTCAGTTGAGTTTTTTTTCATTGTAGTTGCACACTTGAGCCCAAACCCTGAATTTTTTTCTTCTTAAAGTCATCTAAATGTTTTGAGGGTGTGTCCATGTATACATGTTTTAAAGTTTTTAGCATATCTGGCATTACTTTGGTACGTTCAAAAATGATTGCTATACCCAGTGAAATCTTAACAAAGAAGTGTGCCCTTGAAATACAGCCTCTTTGTTAAGAGCAAGTATGCCTATGTCCCACTTCCAAGGGCAGCTTATGCTGTTCTTCAAGTAGGACTTCAGACTGTATTAGTACCAGTATCTTAAGTCACAGAGACTTCCTAACAAACTGGGAATACTTCTGTTCAGGAAAGTCACTAATACCTTACCACATTCAGGTTAGGAGAAATTCCACTTCTGATTGTGTTGTTGCTGGAATGTGCAGGAGGAGTGGTAGAAGGTCCCAACACATCTTGCTTTCTTACTAGCTGATTTTCATTTAGTTCTTTATTTAACCATGTGATTACTTAGAAAACAAAAAGGTAAAAAAACTTTTGACAGTTTTTAGTTTTCTAATCATTTTAAATGTTTAAATACTTTAAGCTTTTTAAGTTTTTACAACTGACATCACAGTTGAACAACACTGGTTCATCTAAACTTTTACAATCAGATTCTTATTTTATTCTCTTACTCTAAGAAGCACATATTTCTGCTCCTCTATATTAAGAGGTTTTGCTTCTAAAATGGTATCTTACAGTTTTATTAAAGTTCACAATTTTATGTATGATATCCGGTTCTACCAACTGAGAAAATGCTAATGAAAAAAAAATCTTATAATTCAAATAATTCATGTTACCACTATTAGGTTAACAGCAATTTTTAAAAAAAAAGTAGTGAGGAATCTAAACAATAAATTACAGGCAATATTTTCAACACCATTAGTTTTGGGTCACTGACACATAATACAGTTTTTGTTTTAACAATAATTGTTTTATAGGCACCAGATAATATAATTTACTACAGCAAAGACATAAGCTTTATTTAAAGTAGAAATTTTCATATAAAGCAAAATCTGAATTTACCTATATTTTAATAAATTCAAATAAAATTTCTAGCTTAAGAATAAAACAAAACTCATTTACATAAAAATATAATATACTTACACTTTTCATTATTTTTTAGAAGCTGTTTGCTTTCCTCAAGTTTTTGAACTGTAGCCTCTAATTGTTCTTGTAATTTGCATACCTGAAACGTCAATCCTCATAGTAAGTCAAACAAAATAAAGGTTAAAATAAAAATTGAAGAAACTATTACTAAACTAAGTGATTACTACTAATACTATTAAATGAGAATAAAGGAATTAGCTCAACTATGTGATCAAATATTTAGGTGTATGTGTGTATATACATAAACTCACACACATAATGACAACTACCCATATATTCTGATCATAAGTGAGCAATTAAGATATCTGAGTTATGATAACTAACTTTTCAAACTGAAATAGGTTATTAACATCTGTTGAATGTAGATGTGTTTTTATGTTTAAGAAAAATAAATGAAATAAGGCCAAAGCCCATTCTCTACTATAACAAAACAGAAATTTTAAAAATAGTATCTGAAGAAGTTTACTATACTTTGTAAACAAAATAGTAACAAAAAAATATTAATTACCTCTTGCTCCTTAACTCGAAGAGACTGTCCAACATCTTGTAGTTCCTTTTGTTCCTTTTGTAATTTTTCCTCCTTCTCAGCCAAGAGTTTTTCTTGCTGAACAGTAACTGTATTCTTCAGTTTCAATTTGCCCATTAGGGTTTTCAAATCCCCCTGTAACTTCTTGATAATTTCATTTGCCTGTAAAAGAGCTCCATATGTAAATCTCTACAATCCAATAAACTATCAACATTCTATTATTTTTTAAAACAAACCTTCAGAAGTTCTGCTGATAATGATTTTATTGTAGTTTCAAGTTTTCCCAGTTGTACCTGATTCTTCTCACTACTTTCTTCTAAAGCCACCTGATTTTTTTTTAAAGATATGAATAATTAGGGCATTTATGTTTCTTGATAAAGCATCACTCTAAATGTGCTCATCAATTTCTTTAGAAAAAAATTTAAAGACCTTTTGTTCCTGGATTGTATCAAATGCTTCTTTTGTTCTTAAAACAAGTTGATCTTTATCCTTGATTTCTTGTTCTAAAACTGCCACTTTTGTTTGTAGCTGATTAATATGCTTTTCTTTCTCATGGCATTCAGCATCTAATGTAGAATTCTCTCTTTGCAAAGAGAGGACTTCTTGCTTAGTTCGTTGCAGCTCCTTAGGGTAGAAAAACAGAAATTACACATTATGACAAAAAGGAAACTGGCTAGTCTGGTAATAATTATGTTTTAATTAAGACATTGAAAATATCAAAAATGTACTTAATAATTTTAAAATTCTAATAGATATTTTCTTTAAAAGACATAAAAATCTCCAATGGTATGTATGAATTATATGATTATAATAAAATACATGAGTAATTCTATAATATCAAAGTAAAAAAAAATCCCAATTTATAAATAAATTACTACAACTTTTAAAAACATTTAACAAGAGTATTGTGATATCTTCCCAACTCATTTTAAAAGTAGCCACAGGTGACAGCTATGAGTTAGTATTTTTCTCTGTTGCTTATGGTGCTTTTTCCCCCCCTCCTCAAAAAAACGAAAAAAGCTCATACTGCTCAGTAGTTTTTCTGGTGCCAGGGATTGAACCCAGGGCTTCATGGATGTAAGGCAAGCGCTCTACTATCCAGTCATATCCCCTACTCAGTTTTATGATCTACCTTCTCCCCATATTACAAATATCTTTTCACCTCAATAAATAATGTTTCTGGACTTTCTGTTTGTTCACACTCTAAAACAAAAATAGGCAAATGATAATCATTAGAAATAGATTTTTTTAAAAATCTACAGGCCACTTCTCAATCAGCTAATATCAACCCGATTGTAGCTAGTACACAAAAATCTACTATGTAGTATTCTTAGTTACAGTTTCTAACAAAAATTTTAAAGACTTTTTGTGTGTGTGTGTGTGTGATGCTGTGGATAGAGCACAGGTCTTTGCACATGCCAGGCAAGCACTCTACCGCTGGGCTACACCCCCAGTCCTAAAAGATAATTTTATAGTATTATACTATGATGGTTTTAGGAGCACAAACTTTGACATCAAATCAATTTGAACTCAAACTGGGGCTTCCCTATAGTGTGATCTTGGGAATAACTTAACCACCCTAAAGTCTCCATTTTCTCATTTATAAAACAGAAATTATAAACAAATGCTTCATAAATTATTTCATTTAATCTTCACAAGAATCCTTATATAAACTGCCTAACATTGACTGGCACAAAGTAGATACTCAGATAGTAGTAATTATTAGTTAAGGGTATTAATATCTAAAAATGTAATTTTAAATAATTAGGTAACTGAATACTCAGAGATTTAAAAAAAAAGTTCCCAAGCCTCATAATTTGTAAGCATTTTGCAAATCTTGGAAGAAATACTTTGTTTGGATCATATTTAAAAAAACAACATAATGAAGACTATTAATATACTATCCAGTTTCAGGACTGAGATAGAAAAAATTATATAGCATTATAATGAAGCAATTAGACTCCCAGTGCACCGTGCATGAAGTATGAAATGTTTTACTAACTAGCATAAAAGGTCGAAGGGTGTAGGTGAAAATAATTGGACATCTATTGTCAAGGCAGAACTCTTATGAGGATCTGAACATAAAATCAGTAAATCTTTAGAGCTTCTTGGCATAACTGACTACTGAAATTAAGTCTGGTTCTCTTTGCTGTTAAATACAATAAACTAAAGATATCTACAAGCCAGGGGCTAGAGATATAGCTCAGTTGGTAGAGTGCTTGCCTTGCATGCACAAGGCCCTGGGTTCAATCCCCAGCACCATATTAAAAAGAAAGAAAAAAAAAGAAATAAGAGGTATCAAAAATATCTACAAGCCAAGCATAGTAGTGTATACCTCAAGCCCTAGCTATTTGGGAAGCTGAGGCCAAAGGATCATTTGAGATAAGACGCTGAAGACCAGCCTGGGAAACATAGTGAGAACCTATCTCAAAAACAACAACAACAAAAAAAAAAAAAAAAACCCAAAAAACAACTACATATACTTTCTGATAACTCATGTGATAATAATGTATAATAATGCTAGGTAAGAAACTATCTTCCTTAGGTAAGTTACTTAACCCCTCTGTAACTTATAAAACAGGGATAATAACAGCACCAAAAGAATTTTAAGAATTGAGTGAAGGTACACAAAGCACTCAAGTAGTAACCATCACATATTAAATACTTGGTAAACATTAGCTATTATTACCTTTACCATTATCACTACTATTACGGAACACTAAGCCTCATATAATTGTCTGATATATTATGTAGGCTGAAGGAAAGAATTAGCCCTGTCACACTGAATACCCCATGAGATAAAGACACTACTATTAAAAATATACTGAAAAATTGGGGCCGGGGCTGTGGCTCAGTGGTAGAGCACTTGCCTAGCATATATGAAGCACTGGGTTCGATCCCTGGCACCACATAAAAATAAACACAAATAAAATAAAGGTATTTTGTCCATCAACAACTAAAAAAATCTTTTTTAAAAAATATATACTGAAAAATCAGAAAGATGTGCCAAAGGACTAATCCTCTAGTTCCTAACTAAAGATATCCAAGCCTACCTCAATTCTGTCTGAGTTAGCTCTTTTTATCAAATTTCAGTCATTTTGCATTTATCTGAAATGATTATCCTAACACCATAAAAGATCTTTGTGGTACATCCAGAGAACCCCATCCACATAAGTAATATAAGTAACCAAATTAAAATAAAGTGACCAAATTAAAACACTCTTTTAAATTAGGATGCAGGGGTAGAAGCCAACATACCTCTTCAACACCAGAAAGTTTTGCTTTAAGTTCTCTAATATTGGAGTCTCCTTTATATTTCCTTTCAGTTAGGTCTTTATTAAGTGCCTCTAACTCTGACAATCTGTTCTGTAGCTGGTGGATATTTCGTTGATGGAGAATTTCTAAATCTTTTTTCTGTTGTTCATGCTGCTGTTGATATTGAACATGTACCTATTATTGAATAAAAATAAATGAAAAAAAATCACAAATATATGCAAAGATTTGAAGAAAAATAACCCCAATTTCTTCTTTAAAGTTATTAGGTTTCCTGTTTTTAAAAAGGTCTATTTTCAATTATGGTTTTCCAGAAGGAGAAAGTACACCAATAAAAGCAAATCTACCATTGTGATCTTGTTCATAATTTCTACTTCTCTTAAACTCACATGTTTGGAAGTAATGATCACTAAGTTAAGGGAAGAATGATATATGATTAAGTAAAAAAAGAAAACAAAAAAAATGTACATCTAGTATGAACATATTTGCACTAAAGAAAAACTATTGCTTAAAGCACCACAGTATTGTTTTGGTTATTAAATAACAGTATATATATATATATATATATATATATATATATATATGTTTTATAATGGAAAAATATCTCTAACTGTAAAAATGGCCAGTTTTAATCACTGGTCCAATCTCATAGTCAGTAGTTATATTTTATCAACTATAAAATGTGAACATAGTTGTAATGATGCAATCTCTGATGCCTGTTCCAATCATACCACACTATCTATTAATGAACACTATCAAATTCAAAAATCTTTTTAAAAAGAAAGCATATTTTTTTGATTTTGAAAGATATATACATTCTTAAAGGCACAATGGGTATTACAGATAACATATAATCCTATACAAGGAGTCACTCTTAAATATTTTGGAATATTCCTTTCTTGTCATTTATATATTCATATTAACATCCCACATTTATGCACAATACACATATTCAAATTTATGAAACAAAATCAAGATATGTACACAATTTAACCATGTTTTTTATTCCTGTACAATTTACATGTTCTCCCTTTGTAAATATTTCATGCCATGGCTACTGATAATTCACCTAACCCCTGCTCCAATATAGACATTTTAGTTTCCAGTTTTTCACAATTAGAAGTAAAACTGTATTAATCATAGATCTGAAATCCAAAATCAAAATTAGTTTCTCATAATCAAATTACAGATTGGAGAATATAAACAACAACAACAAAAAAAACCTAATAAAGTTACAAGACTGGCCAGGTGTGGAGGCTCACGAATGTAATCCCTGAGATGCAGGAGGTTAGCAAGTTCAAGGGTAGCCTCAGCAATTTGGCAAGGTCCTAAGCAACTTAGTAACACCTGTCTCAAAAAAGGGCTGAAGATGGAGCTCACTGGTAAAGCACCCATGGGTTCAATCTCGAGTACCAAAATAAAAATATTAAAAAATAACATTCCAGAAAACTTGTTCCCATTCAAATTCTTATCAGTAGTGTAGGAGAACTCCTCTTTCATAAAATATTCTGAGACTCTTACAATTACTACTTTAGGGAGTCCCTCATTTTTGGAGAGAAAGGGCAAATGACATAAAAACCAGAAAGGAGCCCATATAAAAATGAAAATACCATCATGTAAAATACTGAACAAGTAATCATGAAGAAAAAACTAGAATAAGCCTATGAAGACATTAAAGACAATCAATAGAGGACAAGTGCAGTACAAATAATGATTTTATTGCAGTCCTTTTCTAAAGAAAGAAAAAGAATGAGTGATAGGATTACAAAGTATATATATGTTTACTTCTGAATCATTTGAACTTTTTAGAAAAAAAAAATAAGAAAAATCATTTCCATTCTGGAAGATTAATCTTTGGCAGGATAGCTTCAGGAAAATAATAAAACCCAATGAAAAAGGGATAATTTGTACAGGTAGAAGCATATTTGTCAAAAGAATATCCTATGGGGGGTGAGTAGGGAACAATGGAGTAACTTTGGATTGGACAGAGGGGAGGGAGGGAAGGAAAGCGGGTGGGAAAGATGGTGGAATGAAATGGACATTATTACCCTATATACATGTATGATTACACAACCAGTGTGATTCTGCACCTTGCACAGCCAGAGGAATGAGAAGTTGTGCTCCATTTGTGTACAATGTGTCAAAATGTATTCTGTCATGTATAACTAATTAGAACAAATTAAAAGACTATCCTATATAGTCTTAGGGCACACAGTAGTTTTAGGAGAACATCAGATGCAGAAAAATATTTGCGGGATGGATTTATAAGAATTGAAAAACAAACATTAATAGAAAATTCTATGAAAAAGAAAAGTAAATAAGTAGGATCAAGAAAATAATACAGGACTGGGGCTGTGGCTCAGTGGGTTCAATCCTTAATACCACGTAAAAATAAATAAACAAAATAAAAATATTGTGTCTATGTATAACTAAAGAAATTTTTTTTAAATAATAATAATACATAAAAGAAGGGTGATTCTACTTGTTGCTAGGACTTTCCTCACAGAAAATCTACTATTAATATAAAGAAATTATTGTAAAAATAATTAAGACAACTCATATATTGCTTTCTTTTAAATATTTTTTTAGTTGTAGATGGACACAATACCTTTATTTATTTATTTTTATGTGGTGCTGAGGATCAAACCCAATGCCTCACGCATGCCAAACGAATGCGCTATCACTGGGCCACAAACCCAACCCAGTATATATTGTTTTTTAAAAGCATGAGAAATAAGTATGAACAGGCAAAACTAACCAATAATGACAGAAGTCAGATAAGTGATGACCTTCTACAAGAGTATTATATAAGTCAGGAAAGCACACAGGGGAACCTAGACGGGTAGTACAATTTTCCAAATCTTATTAATTTTGGTGAAAGTTACACATAAAAAAAATCATCTGTACCCTCAAGTGCAAACATCTGGTAAAGTGAATAAAAAATTTTAGTATTAAAAAAGCTATAAAACAGGGGCTGGGGATGTGGCTCAAGCAGTAGCGCCTGGCATGCGTGCGGCCCGGGTTCGGTCCTCAGCACCACATACAAACAAAGATGTTGTGTCCGCCGAAAAACTATATTAAAAAAAATTCTCTCTCTCTCTTCTCTCTCTCTTTAAAAATAAAATAAAATAAATAAAAAAGCTATAAAACAGAAGAAAGAAGTCACACTACACAGCAATAGAAAATGATAATTACACAACAAAAGGGAACAAAAGATATTAAAAGGTAATCCTCAAAATAAAAATCATCAAAAGTCATGTTAAAGGTTGCTTATATTCCCTCTAAATCTAAGAAATGTAAATCAAAACAAAGTACTACCGTGATACCTATCAGGTTTCAAATAATAAGGTTAATAATAATAATAATAATAATAAGGAAATAATTATCTTAGGGATTATATTTAGTATAACTTTTTTGAGTGGCAAATTTACAGTATCCCTCAATATTTTATATAGCTATATTGCAATCTCAACAAAGAATGTCCACTGCACTATTGTTCGTAATAGCCAAAATATCAAAGCAGTTATATATTCTCCAGTAAGTAGATAACATTATATTCGATGAATACTATGCGGCCACTAAAAAGTAATATCTGAACTGATAGAATTATCTCAGGCAAAGTGAAAAAGGCTATAATCTATATATCTAATAAGACTTCAATAATACAGAACAAAATTAAACTCACCATGTGTGCACATATATCTATAATTATAATTTGCATTAGTATAAATAAACAAATATTTACAAGTCACATATTATTTACACATGCAGAGAAAAGTTCAGAAAAGTCACATCAAAATGTTTATAAATTATCTTTTAGTTTAAGTTTGAAAGATAAACTTTCAATTTTTATATACTTCATAATGCTTGAACAATTTAAAGCAAGCATTTATTACTTTTATAATTAACAAAATCAACAGCAATAAAAATTTATTTTTCCAGTTACTTCTAATATTCTTACCTGTAAAGCCTTTTCCTTCTCATTCGTCAGTTCTTGAGAATGCTTATTTGTCAATGATGCTGTGTGTGATTCCCATTCATTCCGTAACTTTTCTAATTCTTGTATTTTTTCTGATAATGTCTATATTAGAATTTGGTACAAAATATTAAGATAATCTCCCGAATATTTTACACTTCTGAATAACACACGGCAATACTTAAAAGGGTATTAAAGAAAGTGAAATTTCAACTTGTCAAGACATACTCAAACCTTTTTTATATTTTTATATTTGATGTTTTATATTTGAGGGAATCAAGATTAGAATAAAAGGAATTTTAGAGCTCAAATGGCCCAAAATTGAGCTTAATTATCTTTAATTAAACTTTTAATTATATCTAGCACTTAGCCTGGAATGGTGGCACATTCCTGTAAACTCAGCTACTGGGAAAACTTGAAAGAGAAAGACTGAAAGTTCCAGGCCAGACTGGGCAACTTAGCAAACCCTGTCTTAAAATAAAAAGGGCTGGAAATGTAGTTCAGTGGTAGAGTGCCCTTGGGTTTAATCTCCAGAAGCATTCTGGTAAGGCAGCAGAACACAACAGACACTAGTATGGCAATATGTAAATCAATGGATGTGTAACTGATGTGATTCTGCAATCTGTATATGGGGTAAAAATGGGAGCTCATAACCCACTTGAATCAAAGTGTGAAATATGATATATCAAGAACTATGTAATGTTTTGAACAGCCAACAATAAAAATTAAAAAAAAAAAAAGAAGTAAAGCAACCTAGGTGGAACACTCAACTCATAAAGAGGAGTTAATTTCTTATACATACAATGCAGTAACATGATCCCCAGTATTTTCTGCCTGAAGCCATGCAGCTTATCAGGTAATTTGGGGAAAATGTGTCAATTTAAAGGACCAATGGCAAAAATGCAGTACCTACAACTGAAATGAGATGAAGCCCAGCAGAGGAATTAATTCTAACCACAAGGGAAGAAAGGTTTAGAACATAGGAACTGAAAAGCCATTTTAAGTCAAAGAAATGAGGTGAATAAAAGGAGAGAAGAGAACTAATATATGATAGAAACTAAATATCTTATTTCATGAAGAATTACAGAAAGCATGTCATATTGGAGATGATAGAAGGTTTTAGTGGAATTAAATAAAGGAGAAAGCATGACATTAAGGAAATTAGTAAGTGAAATGTAGCAAAAAGCAGGGGAAATTCAATGGTAAAATACTTTGAAAGAAAATATAAAGCATGGACTTAATTCAAGAAGCAATTAAGAATCAATATCTGACTGACTTACAAAGACAAAATGAAATATGAATTACCTTTTGTGTCAAGTTCAGTTGTCTAGTAACATCATCTAGTGATTGTGTCAATGATAATATTTCTTCCTATTTATAAAAATAAAATAGTGCAGTTTATAATTTAATTCAATCATCTGTAGCCTTGCTACTCAAAGTATAGTAAAATAAGCACTGGCATCATCCTAAGAGCTTGTTAGATACACAAAATCTCTGATTTTCTAAATCAGAATCTGCATTTTAACAAGATCCCCAGATGATCTATATGCACCATTTACAGTGGAAATGCACTGATGTATAACATTTAACGTAAAAAAATTTCTAAAAACTCTCAAGTGGCAACACTATGATTATTCTTGTGCCATATATCTTATTACACTTTTTAATATTCAAGACACTTTCATATATATAAAATCTCATTAGAGTAGATATTCTCATAGATATATACTAGCTGATGGAATCATGACACAAGTGTTTTAAGTAGCCTGCCTAAGGTTATAGAACACTAGTAAAAATCCTGGGACCTAAGTTTCTCAATTTCTGGTCTAGTTCTATATTTGCTGTACCTCAACTAAATGAAAAACAACAAACTAAGTTCATTACATGTAACAAACCTTTATTCAGAAAACAAAAAATAAGGGCAATCAATGCAGCTCTTTAGTGATTTATCAAAATACTTTGAAAACTAGTTTAAAAGAAAAACTTACCTTACTACATTTCAAACAACCTGCTAGGAATTTCTTTATTTCCACATCATTTCCAGGTAAGAGTTTTAGTGAGAGATGTGTAAGATGCTTAAAAGGATTTGTCTCTATCACATTTAAAAATGCAGGTGAATTATCCAAAATAGCTGCTGGAGAAACTAACTGTAGCAAAAACCTTTAAAAAGAAAATGTCACATTATAACAAACTAATGAAATAATGAAGCTCCTCTTCTTAGAAAGACCAGAAAAGAGAGCACACTGAAATCATAGGGGCTAATGTAAAAGGACTCCCACTGGTAAAAGATAAGTTGGGGTGTTGGGGTGAGAAAGGTTGACAAAACACAGTAAATATATAAAAGTCCTTGAGTTCATAGTGAGAAGGCAGAAAGCAAAACCTAAAACCAAAAATTCATTGAATGCCACAGGAGTAAACAGTTTACGAGTTCCTAACTATGAAAGCTAACAATTTAAAAGTATGAATCAAGCATTTATGTTTTCCTATATGAACTTGCAAAGTCATCAAATAGCCCTGCTTGATAAGGCAAAGTTGATAGAAGAATTATACCAACGTAGAAAGAATGATAGATTTAGAAAAGCATCATTTTGTAGTTCCTATAGAAATAAATGACTGAAAAAAATCATCAATTCATGAAACCAATATAAGGTTGATGGCAAATGGCTTAGGCATTAGCACCCCAGATATGAACATGTACATACAAAATCTTATATTTCTTGTTTTCCAAGATCAGTAAAAAAGCAAATACTTGATGCTATATTTTAGATAACTTCAGTGGTTTTGTCAAAACATGAGAATTAATAGTTAAATATTTCTGATTTTAATCAAGACTCCTTAAAGTTTGAAATTTAGTGGATCCCTACTCCAGTTTTAAAACAAATAGGGTTACTTAGAATTCATGGGAAATATTTTGCCATCAGCTCGTCTTTCAAAGGCGTCTATCTTGTTTAATAATGTAGTATTCTCATGCAACTTACCTTGGAATTTCTTTAACATGTTCTTGAGTACACTGTTGAAGGAGATCTATAAATTTTTGTGGGAAAGCTAAGAAGTCTACCAGAAGACCTTGCTGGAATTTTAAACTATATAAGAAACAGGAAAAGAATAAAAATTTAATTACTATCTTTTATATAATTAATACCCAAAAAGATTTTTTCTTTACTAAACACCTATTATAATCAAGAACTAAGCTAGTGAATTTATATTTTATAGAATTTACTTAATGAGAGAAAAAAGTACAGAAATTTAGTCAAAGCTAGAAATTTCTGAGCTGTTATATGTAGACTTCTGATATTCTATGAATATTTATTTTCAAAGACATCCTTAATCAAGTGTGGGAGGCCGACATAGCATGTAATCAGCGTTTGCTTCCCCTCCTGGTCAGCTGAGGCACTGTAGGTCACCCTGTGATCTGGTTGCTTTTAAGTAACTGAAGACGGTAGCCAGATCTTGAAGGTAAAGAAAACACAAATGTGTCTCCCTGCATGGGTGTGCCTTCCTACAGCCCCATGGGTTGAGCTATGCTCACTTGTTCCTTTGTGATATTACCCCTTGCCCTGTTTGGGATAAAATGTTCCTTGGAAACGCCCTTTGTGTGTCCCCTGCCTTTGGGTGTGGCCTTCCTAGATGTCAGTCAGCCTGCTGACAGCAGACATCATGAAGCTAGACTCAGCCCCTTAAAACCTGACCCTTTGCCTCATTTGAATGTCTTCTCCTCAATAAAAGGGGTCAGCACTTGCTTTCTCTCTCTCTCTCCTTCTGCAGACCCTTGAGGTCAGAGGAGCCGTCACAGCATCCCCAAAGAAAAAGGTATTTCTGTCTCTTGTGTGGTTATTTCGTGCAGCCCAGTTCCCCTGGAGTGACCCCTGAGTGTTTTAGTGATGTGCAACACAGCAATCAAGTGTACAACAAACAATCCAGTATTCCCAGAATAACTAAAAGTTCTAAATAGGTATGTTTCAAAGAGAATAGTACAAATACATTCATATAACTGAGAAACTTATTCCTAGTTTTAAATATAAGAACAGAAAAAAAATTACTTACCTTTGAAAATCTTCCTCAGATATAATAAGATTATACAGAAAAAATGGATCTGTATCATCAGTCAGACGAATAACCAAATCCTAAAAAGAAGATTTAAAAAAAAAAAAAAAATGTTTTCAGAAAATCTTCCCTCTTGAAAGGAAAATTATCCAGTAAGATCAACATATTACCATGATTACTTCAGTTAACTTTGTTTTCTGGTGCTGTTTATTTTTTATTGTCCTTTAGAGACTTAGAATCTTAAACAGGAGTAGATATTCTGCTACTTGAAAGTCTTAGAGAGGTCTGTAAAAGTAAATTAAATACTAGGAATTGAAAGTTTAGGGATATAATCCTATCAGAGGCATAGGGAAATTTAGATGAGTCTTTGCTGCACTATAGCATAATGGCAAAAATATTCTTTACCACTGAACATACTGCATTCAATTATATTTTGTTTCCCTTAAATTAACTAACCTGGTATTTCATAAGCAATAAGTGTATCAACAGGAGAGGAATAATCATCCATCCAAGAGAAGGAAGGAGCTTCTGGGGCTCAGGTAAAAGATAAGTATCGGGTGACGTACTGCCAGGTATTCTTATTAAGGGTCTATTCTCTCCTACTCCAGCTGGCTAACCCATCTGTCTTCATTTTTCTAACAAAGTGTGTTCCTTTCATAAAGACTACTTCCCAGGTTATCAAATTTACAGTGTGGCAGAGCATTATAGCAGCCAATGCTGACAGAAACAGACATCAAAATTATGTATGCAAGGAAAATATGGTGTAACTACAAGATGAGCAGGGACTAATAAAGCACTAAGCATTCAGGTTATGAATAAGTTTGAAGTAAAATCTACTCATGACTACCAAGGAACTGCTAGGGCCCTAGAAAAATCTAAGCCATTAATAAGTAGAGCTAGGAAAATGAAGAGGTTCAGCAGGTACAAGGAATAATACCAAAAATGCAATCAATAATCTCCACCCTGGAAAATTAATCACTCAGGTATTTGCTATGCCTTATAATGCCCCATTGTTAAGCAGCTTCTACTGAAGTACTTCTTGAAATTCACTCCAAGATATTATTAAACAAAACAAAAACAAAAGCTACTACTTAGGTCCTTAAATATGTTCAGGGAAACCTGTAACAGAGAAAGCAAATACTGTATTTCTTAGCCCTCTGGTCTATTTCCTTAGCTCTGTTAATGACTCTTACTTTTGAAGATAAGATGGAACCAATGTTCCAAGTGCCTCTCTTCAAAAGGTAAAGATTCAAGAACATCTCTTTAGTACTTCAATTTATTCTGTTCGCACATTTATAGCATGAAATGCCAATTTTTTAAAGCAGCAGAACATATCCTTGCAACTTTTAAATGTTCTGGGCAAACCTAAGGAGATTGTTACCACAACCCCTAATTCTTCATGTATGATTTAAAAATATATGATATAATTATATTCTAGTTGTCTCAGTAGATTTCACCATCTTAGACTGAAAGTTACAAAATGGCCCAAAATTAAAAAGCAAGATCTAAAACTGAAGACCTCCCGTTCTTGAAAAAACAAAATAATTATCTATAATATTCAGAAATTATCACATTTTGAAAAGCAGTACTAACCTTTCTATGAACTGGATTAGAAACTGATTGCAGTTCAATGCTTACTCTAACATTTATTCTCCTACATGAAAAGACAATGCCAACAGTTAGAAATATTCAGATGAAACAAGTTATCACCATCATAACTACTTTTAAGTCTTAAAAGCCACAAGACTTTTCACAAGACTTTCTACTTATTTTGCTGTGCTGGGGATTAAACCCATTACCTTGCCTTGAGCATGCCAAGCAAGAACTCTACATCCACATCCCCAGCCCAATGAACAGACTTTCAGAAAGCACACTGGATTTGAAGTTTGTTATTGTTGTTCTTCTACTAGGTAACCTAGTAGCTTTTAAAGCTAAATTTTTCTCACCTGTAACATGGGGGACAGGATAAATGGGATAACAAATACGCCTGGTACCACTCTGGTATATAAACATACTGCCCTGATTCTAAAATACCATCTACTGAAAGACAAACCATCAATTTAGTAAAAACTTTTTTCATTAAGAAAAAAAATAGGATTTCAAGTGATAGAACTGACTTATGACACATTACATTTTAAAAACTTAAAATGTAGCTGGACCGGGTAGTACACACCTATAATCTCAGAGACTCCAAAGGCTGAGGCAGGAGGATCACAAGTAAAAGGCCAAGGCCATCCTCAGCAACTTCGTGACCCTGTCTCTCAAAAAAATAAAGAAAGAACTGGGGACATGGCTCAGTGGTTAAAAAAAAAAAAAAACCCTGGATTAAATCCCCAGTACTGAAAATAAAAAACTTGAAATATGAATATTAGAATGAAGAATATAACATTCTCCCTACTCTTCTGCACACATACATGTTTTTTAGATATACAAACTAAGACTTTTCCACATTCTACTACTTATCTACTACAGAAAAAAAAAAGTATAAATATTGAATCAAGTATTAATGGGAAAACTTGGAAACGATTCTCTAAAATTCAACTGCTTAGATATTTTATCCTCTAATTGGTAACTGTATATTCCTTTAAAATGTGTCATTCTTGTTAAGTTTTTTACTGAAGATATGAGTAAATGCTAAATATTAGTTTATATGAGGAAGTTAAATGTTACCACACTTAACTGTTATCTGAAAAGTAATAGCAGCACTGATCTTCTACACCACAAAGACAGAAAGAATTACTTTTAAAATGAGAATATGGTATTTCTATTTTTCTAGTATTGTAGAGCAATGTATGTGAAACACATCAGAATACCACTTCAATTTCACTTAAATTAAGCTTTCTTGGGAGGAAAAAAACTTCCTAATTTGTAAGACAAGCAAATTCAATCAGATGGTTTGTGAGGATTTTTTTAGTTCTACAATGTCATTATGTCATGTTTGGTTTTCATCTTTCTAAGTTTATTCAAGAACATACTCCCATAGTGATATGAACTGTGACAACTTTTTATGCTTTACAGCTTTACAGTTTTAGAATCAATGTCAGACTTCATAATTTATAGGGAAAAAAATTCAAGAAACATCTATTTAATAAAATGTCCTTTATATGATAATTTACCAATCATATAATTATATTCTTGCATATATTCAAAATGCCTATATGTATTAGATGTTGGAAGGAAATGGAGGCAAGATCCATAAATTAAACATTCTCCATGTTTACTTTGATAACACCATAGAAATATCTTGTAGAGAAGACACCAGGGTGCATGCCGGTAATCCCAGCAACTCGAGTGGCTAAGGCAGGAGGATAGCAAGTTAGGGTCTCACTCAGCAACTCAGTGAGACTCTAAGCAGCAGACCCTGTCTCAAAATAAAAGATTAAAAAAAAAAAAAAGAGGTGTGGCTGTGGTTCAGTAGTAAAGTGCCTCTAGGTTCAATCCCCAATACAAAAAAAAAAAAAGTAGGAAAATCTGAGCTTTCAGAAATACCTATCTGAAATCACAAATCTTATTTTCTCTATATAATGGTTAATGACAAAAGACCTATATAAAACAAATAAATAAATCTCAATAGAAGGTATTTCTCATCTCAGTATGTGTCCCACTCTGAATACTATGAATCTACATAACATCTCCAGGTAGTAGATTTGAACAGGTGTTCTTTTATTTAAAAAAGCATCTTAAACTTCAGACACTAGATAAAAAGGATTCTTGCCCACTGCTGTCACCCAGTAGCTGTGATCTTAACCTCTCAATTCAAACAAATGAAAGCTACTCTAGCCAGCTACTATGCCTGGTGCTAGGGATACAAACAGAAACAAACATGGTCCATGTTTTCAAATTGAGGTCAGATTAAATCACTTTTCCACAGATTTGCTTCTGATTATATTTTATGAATTCATGAAAAGGGAAAGGTTACCAATACTAACTGAGTACCTGGTGGACAATTTACATATCTTATTTAACAACAATAATCTTATCTACTTTAACAAATAGTTTAAATCATTCTAAAAAAATTTTTATGGAAGAACACAAGACACATTGCAAAGACTAAATTAGAACTCAGATGTCTCACGTATACCATGCTAATAAATGAATAATTACTTTCAACTTGGGCAACTTTAAAAGATCCTTATAATGAAAAAATTTAACATACACCTTGGAGATTATGAAAGAAAAAGCACTGAGGCAGACAAAATAGCAGGAATAAAGTATGGTGTAGAGAGAGTATGAGATACATTCAGAAAATAACAATAATTCTTTCATAACTAACATACCAGAGTGGATTTTTTTTTTTTTTTTTTTTTGAGGAAAGAAAACTGGAAAAGCAGGTTGGTAACAAATCATGGACTTCAAAACTTGACATCATTTTCCTCCAGAGTTCCCTGATCATTAATTACCTCTATTCTTAACTGAATTTCTTTCTTCTCTATGACTTTAATAATCACACTATATCAATAGCTAAAGTTTAATGAATGTTTATTATACTCTAGGCACTATTCTAAGCACCTTAAATGTATTAACTCATTTCATCCTCATAATAATCCCATGAGATAGGTACTATTATCATGAATTTAAAAATGCAACACAGAGAAGTTAAATAAATTGTATGAGATCAGGGCTAGGGGTGTAGTACAATGGTGGAACACAGGCCTAGCATATGTAAGGCCCTAGGTTCACACCCTCAGTACACATACACACAAACGCAAAATATCATAAAAAAGCTTCAAAAAAAATTGTACAAGATCAAACAGTGAATAGTGGCAAAACTAGAATTTAAACCAAGGCAATCTGGCTCCAGAGCCCATACTTGTGCTGTGCTGCCTTTCTAAAGGAAATCTTTTGATTTCCCCAACTGAACTCTTGAGTTTCTTGAGGGCCACAACAATCATTGTTTTTTTGTTTGTTTGTTTAGTGAGTGAAGTAAAAGGGAGCATTTCTATCCTTAGCACCTAGGACAGTTTCTGGTACATAGTAGCCATTTGCATCTATTGGTTGAGTTGACTGGCCTTGAATAATTAAAGAAATCTAAGAGGTTGTTCTTCTATAGGTTAGGATTAGTAAATTATTCTTTTTTTTTTTTTTTTAAAGAGAGAGAGAGAGAGAGAGTTTTATTAATATTTATTTTTCAGTTTTCAGGGAACACAACATCTTTGTTTGTATGTGGTGCTGAGGACTGAACCCAGGCCACACGCATGCCAGGCGAGCGCGCTACCACTTGAGCCACATCCCCAGCCCAGTAAATTATTCTGTAAAGTGCCAGAGAGTAAATATTTTAGGCTTTTCAGGTTACAGGGTTTCTGTCTCAATTACACATTTCTTTCTTTCCTTCCCTGCAGTTCCTCCCAGAGCCCCACAAATGCTAGGCAACTGCTCTGCCACTGAGAAATATCTCCAATCATCCCCCTGCAAAAAAAAGACACCATAGTACAATTACTCATTTCTACCCTTGTGCAAAAATCAGCCAGAGACAATTTGTAAGCAAATAAACATGGCTATGTTCAAATAAAGTTTTATTTACAGTGGCCCATCTGTCTCACTGACTATTTAGTTTGCTGAATTTTGCTACAGATCCTAAGACTATATGAAAGATTACTAATAAGAAGAATGAAAAAGCTGAAATTATGTTTTAAGATGATAAACTGAAATAACAATGTACAGAAGGAGAAGAGCTAAGAGTTTCAATGTTGGAATCAGAAATGATGATCCCTTTTTCTTTGTATAATCATTGTAGAACAGTGTTGCCCTATTAGATCTGTGACAATGCAGGTCACAAATATGAGCAATGTATGTAATAATTTAAATTTTCTAGAAACCACATTTTTAAAAAGCTTTAAAAAGCAGGTAAACTAATTTTAAGAAAGCATTTTATCTGGCCAAATATATCTCAAATATTGCCATTTTATCAAAATGAAAACTGAGAAAGTTTACATTCTTTTTTCCCCACACAACATGTTTTCAAAATCCAGTGTGCATTTCACACAGCACATCAGTTTGGATGTGGCTAGTGGATACCATACTAGCAGAACAAAAGAATAAAAAAAAATAGGGGGTGGTGGTGGTGGTTGTTATATAGCTCAATGGTAAAGCATGTGCTTAACATGAGCAAGAGCCCCGGTTCCATTCTCAAAACCAAAAAAGAAGAGGACAAAGAATGACCAAGCCAAATAACAGATCTCCCATATGCACCTTTGGTTTTGGTACCATCTCCTGTCTGGCTTGCCAACTCATTTTAGATTCAATTCTTAATTACATACTACAGTTTAACATTACTGGCAATTCAATAAATCAATGTCATTTTATGCTACACTCTATGCCATTTAGTTTTTAACATACATTTTCCACTTGATCCTCATTAACAACTATGTGGGTAGTATGCTCTATCAATTTCACAGATGAGGAAGCAATGTTCACAGAAGCTAAGAGAGAGTCCATGGGTGAAACGAAGAAAAAAAATTAGATCTCCTGACTTCTAGTCCAGCCTATTTAGGGTCTAGCGGCACCACTACCTTAGTGAACGTTGCAATTTTGCACTTAGTTGAGAGGCTGGCCTGTATTTCCTCTACTGGGCTGTAAACTACACTAAGACCAATGCATGCCCCGTTCTCTGCCAGGTGTTTACAAGGAGGCAACATTTCTTGAGTGAGTTCGCTGAGTTTCCGATTTTCTCATTGTTTTTGATCAATTAAAAGTAATTTTATGAGTAATGTGAATAAGACCACTGAAATTATTTCTTTTTAGTTGAAGTTGAAAAATGTATTCCCAGTATGCTTCAAAGGAGAATGAAAAAAATGGCTGGAGGCTAAGGCCCGAGTTCTCATGCTGACCCAGCCACGAGCTCACCGTGAGAGCTGGTGTCAATTAATTTCTCTGGGCCAGAGCTCTTACCTGCCAAAAATAAACATCATCTGCACGGTGCCATTCGGAAGTTAGGATTTTTGACATACTCAAAGTGAGTCGGTTTCCCATTTCCTCATCCCTTTCCTTTCGTCCCCTCTGTAACAGCCGACTCGGGGAAAGACGAAACTAGGAGGTCCCGGCTGAGTGCTAAGTTTCCTAGGGGCCAGCCCGACACCCAACCGCAGGCCGGCGCCCACCGGCCGAAGCCGCCATTTTCCCCATTGGCCAGACCCCAACCGCCACCCGCCGACACTGGGTGACGCGGACCTAACCTTTCCTCGCAGTCTTTGCATTTCATCTGCAGCGGAACTAGTTGCTGGAACAGAACTTGGCTCATGTTGGACCGGCGGCTGTGCGGAAAAGCCAAACAGGCCGGTCCTCGGTAGTAGCCTGAAAGACGTGCGGGTCCTGACAGAGTTTTGAGTTTGGCGCTCGGCTCCCGCGGAGGAGGCGGGGAGAAACAGAGGGAAAACGAAGGAGGTTTGGACCTCACCAGACACCATCAGTCTCTTCCGGTTTTGCTACGGAAGGGATGAGGGCGGGGTACTGTTTCCGAGGATTACCTGTGTGGCCGGACCCGAGGACGCCATGCTTGTTAAGGGAAAACGACCCAAAGGAAACTGACAACTTTTGCTCTGGGCGCCGGATGCTGGCTACCGAAGCTCACCCAGAATTATGGCGGATTCGGCGCGGACACCGCATGCTACTGGCTTTCCAGCAGAGGGTAGATGCAGTTACTATGTGGAAAAGAAGAAGCGATTCTGTAGAATGGTGGTGGCCGCCGGGAAAAGGTTCTGTGGTGAACACGCTGGAGCCGCGGAGGTCTGGTATCGCCCTAACCTTCTGAGAGTCGACAATAAGTTTACCGGAGCGGTCGGTGCTGGAACCCGGCCCCTCCCCTCTTTGACAGGTTTCTGCTTCTGTCCCCTGGATTCTCCAGCTTTTACTTTAATAAACGAAGTTCTGACCTACTTGTGGAGCGATGATGAGCCCTAGTGATGAGCATTGTTTTCTTTTACTAAGTGAAACGCGAGCTGTGACACGTTCATCTTGATCCTAACTCGGGAATGCTAGACTTTAGTTTTGCCCCAAACTGCTGCTCCTTAACTCCGTCCACCCTCCAACTTCCTGATGGGAAGTGGTAGTTTAGAAAAAGTAGCGATTGAAGTTCCCAGAGTTCACTGGTTGTGTTCTTATTGTTGTATCATGAACGATAACCACTTCTTGTAAATGCTCTAAGAGAAACTTCTAAAATTTTTATTTAGGCTTACAATCTCTAGACAGCAACTTACAACTACTTGGCTGGAATGGGGAGGGAATGATTTAAAAGTATATAAAAATTGACCTTTTAAAGCTGAAAGCAGAAAGTGTGCAATCTTGTTCGATAATATAATATTCATATAAATATACTATCAACCAATGTATTTTTGCTTGTATGCATTATATAAGCATATATATGATATATAAGAATATATAATATATAAGTAATATATAAAATAAGAATATAATATATAGTATATACTATATATGACATATGTAAGTATATAATATAGAGCATATACTATATATGACATATAAAGTATAAGTATATAATATATATAATAGGAAAATAAAAATAAGAACAAGAGGAGCTGAATCCTGATAGAAAAAGAACATATTCAATAGGATTAGAAAGAATAAACCAAATAGACTAGCATCTGGCTTCATGCCTTCTAAAAGTCCAGTATTATTTGCATTTTATTTTTTTAAATATTTTTTTTAAAGATGGATACAATATCTTTGTTTTATTTATTTATTTTTTATGTGGTGCTGAGGATCAACCCAGTACCTCACAAGTGCCGGCCAAGCACTCTACTACTGAGGTATAACCCCAGCCCCTGCCATTATTTTATTTTTGACATTTTATCCTTCTAGTCAAAAATACAGTGCAGATGAGTCCGTTTGTGTAAGACTACATTTCATAGCCACAGCCTACTTCCTGTTTTGGGTTGGTAACATTTACCTAAAGGGAAGCATACTGAAACAAGAACTTTCTTGTTTTGGAATATGGGAAATGTGACTTATTGTGGAAACTACTTGTGAAGTCCTCCTGTAATTTTATTGGCTGATTTTAGGGGGCCGGCAAACACCCTTGGTTGAAGAATGAAATTTATCAGAGCACAAAGATTTTGTTCCCACTCTGTATCCAGACATCTGTAAAGTAATGAAGATGGTAATAGTATTAGAATGTGGCTAAATCTACAAGGTGATTGCTATTCTTAGAAAGGAACTACATGTAGTTATTAGTTCCTTGGAGAAAGACTGCAAAATACCAGGGGAAACACTTTCCAAACACTGGGTTTTGAATTGTTAACCATTCTCCTGAATCTGTAGTTCATGATGTAATTGGAATATTATGTTTTCCTCTTCATCTTTTTTTAAAAGTGACACTGATGACATTGCTTAAACCCATTTTTAGCCAGTGATTCTCAACTGGGGATGATTTTGTTCCCCAGAAGACACTTGGCAATGACAGAAAACATTTTGTTTGTCACAACTGGGAAGTATAACTGGCATCTAATGGATAGAGTCCAGAGACACTGCTAAACCTACAAATCACTAGAAAGCCCCCTTCCAAAAAACAAATTATCCAAGCCAAAATGTCAATAGTGCTGAGGTTTGAGAAACCCCGTTTCTAAATCCAAACAACAAGTTTTAAAAGGTGCTTTTATTCTTCACTCTATGATTGGACTTTGGAAGTTAGAATAGAGGCTTTTCCTACATGGAAGTTAAGTTTTGTTGTTTCTTTTGTTTTTATGACAGGGATCTTAATTAACCAGGCTGGTCTCAAACTGGTCTCAATGATTTTCCCACCTTACCCTTCCAAGTTGTGGGGACTGTAGACAAGCCCATGGAGGAAATTAAGTTTTAAGTTAACAAATAAGGAATAAAAGTATTTTCAAAAATTTTTCCCATAAAGTTCAGTGTGCATAGTTTTCATGAACATGCTAAGAGGCACATCAGAACTAAAATAAATTGAGAAAAAAAGTCCATAAGAATGAACACTAGCCAGGCTGAAGCAGGAGGATCCCAAATTCAAGACCCATCTGGGCAACTTAGTGACACTCAAAATTTAAATCTAACTGGGAATGTAGCTCAATGTTAAGGCCTAATATATTCAAGTCCTTGAGCAGAATCCTCAGTACCACACACACAAAAAAAGAGTAAGCCCTTGGTCAGCGTTTATTCTGTGGCTAGCACTATGCTAAGCAGCTTTATCCCTTTTGTTAAAATACAAAAAACTAATAGCTCACTAATTTTCACCAACCTTAGTAGGTAAGATATTATTCTTTTGTATGAGGAAATAAGCCTACTTAGGTTATGTAGCTGGTAGCTGATAGAACTGGAAATATATCTCAGTAGTCCTGAACTGGTCTGTGGTTTAACTACTGTTTATGCTGTTCATACAGATTCATATGGAATGTGGAGTAGAATTGCCAAGATTATTAATTTTCCATTTTTCACAGTGTATATAGTTAAATCTGTGTAACTTAAAGTGAAAGGATATAACTGCTATACTGAAAAGTTGAAGTCAGTAGAATATGGCACATACCTAATTGTTAAAATACTGTGTTTCATTGTTTCTAAAATAATTATTTTCAGATTTTTACAACTTAGAGATCAAGACGGTTCTTAAAATCAGTGATATGTCATAATTTAAATGGGTAGTATTTTCCACAGGAATGATAAATGAGATAATACATATGTTAATTAGTTCAATTTACCCATTCCGCAAGGTAAACATATTTCAGTGCATCATGTTGTATATGATAAACATAAAATTTTTGTCAGTTTTTAGTTAAATGGTTAACATTTTTTTCTTTCTTGGTGGTACATAAAATAATAGTGCATATTATAGTAGATGTTATCTTGGATTCAAATTTCTGTGCATATATAGGCCTTTATTATAACCTATTTGAAGCCATAGACACTTGTTTGTCCAAAGCAGTTTTTATTCATATATAGATGTTCGCTACATTGGATATTTTGTTTTTGTTAAACCCTATGACCTGATTTTGCCAATTTTTCGTTATGTCCTTTTAAACTTTTCTTACCTTTTTTTTGACAGTGCAGATATACAAAAGTTATATCTAGTATCTATAAGTAGTAAAACTGATATTTTACTTAACTAAATATATCCCTTTTAACACATTAGGAAGAAAATGCTCGGAAAAGAATCCTGTGTCCTTTAGATCCAAAACAGTAAGTATGGATCAAATAAGGGGTTTTCTCTGGTAGAAACAATAATTGTCAGAAGTCTCATTTTATATTTTCTTTTCAAATTTAGCACAGTATATGAAGATCAACTAGCAAAACATTTGAAAAAATGTAATTCAAGGGAGAAGCCAAAACCTGTAAGTGTTTGCTCAGTAAAACTGAATGGTAAAATGTGTACTATGTTATATACAGTACTTAATATATTACTAATGTGAATATTTAACAAGACTGTTGCCTTGGTCAGTGTCTTTTAAGTTTATATGTATAACATATGAGATTATAAATTCATTCATGGTCTTAATTCAGAGAACAGAATTTTATGGAACCTGAATGTTGTTCAGAGAATAAGTTCACTATTTAAAAACATTTACTTAGTGCCTACTAAAATTATTTCAGTAAAATATTATCTCAGTCTTCAAGGAGCTTGAGACTAGAAAGTAAACTTGTAAATAAAGAATATTGTTCAGTAAGGTCAAATGAAAGGAGCAAGCATAGTATAATGAGAACACATCCTGGCATCAAAATTAAGAACAAATATAAAGGGTTGAGAAAGGTTTCTCAGAGGGAGTAATAGTGGAATTGAGTCTTGATGTGGAAAAGAAAAGGAAGAAGGGTCCTTTTCAGCACAAAGGACAACATGTGCAAAGGCATGGAGCTGAGAAATCACATGATACTTTCAAGAAACTGGAACTTTATTCTGAAAGATATGGAAAACCACTGAAAGATTTTAAGCTTGGGAATGGCATGGCCAAATTTTCCTGTTAAAAAACCTTCTTGGCGCTGGGGTTATAGCTCAGTGAGAGCACTTGCTTAGCATGTGTGAGGCACTGGATTTGATTCTCAGCACCACATATAAATAAAATAAAGGTCCACTGACAATTAAAAGAATTTAAAAAATAAAACTTTCTTTAATAGTAATGTGGTAGGACAGCTTGGACTCAGTAGGACTAATTAGAAAGCTATTGTTGACATCCAATTGGGATGTGGTAAGAGACTGATAATTAAAGAATATGGGAAGGATATAATAGTTATTTAGGTAGCAGAATCAATAAAACTTGGTGTCGGTAAATTCGAGTTGGGTATATGACTGAAATTCAGTAGAGAGCTTGGACAAATAATCAAAAATTGGAAGTCAAATACATACAGGTTATAGGTAAAACTTTGGATTTTTAAGGTACCCAAGGATAAGTGATTTAGGAAAAAGAAAGGGATTTA